ATTTCTGCAAGACTTTTTATTTTACTGCAGTCAGCATTGCTAGCTGCTTTATTTAATATGAAACTTCAGATAATTAACCAATATGTTTGTCTGTCTGATCATTTCAGGTAAAAAGAAAAACCACTAAAATAGTTTAATTCTACTTCTTACTAAGTAAGGTTGGAATTTTAGTTTATTTTTCATGAAAGAAAACATAGAGGAGACAATTTTCTCAAAATTAACCTGCTGCCACATAAACATCTAGATGTTAATTTCCTATCTTCTCACTGCAGACCAGGAGCTTCCCAGCCACACACTTGTAAATTAAGACACCATTCTATCACTCGATAATTTAAGTTTGCAAATGAGACAGACATTATTCTTTGGTAACATATTTTCTAGTATAATGAATATATGTTGTATTCTATGGTTGACGCTCAGAAACAACTTAACCATGACTTTCTTTCATTAATTAAAACCATAGCAACTTTTCTTTAGTGCAGCAGCACTAGGTCAGAATGTTCCAGCATTGAGCAATGCCCATGTGGAATCACTTTAACAGTGTACAGGTTCTCCTACATCCATGACATTTCATTTTTTATAACAGAACTTTATTCTTCACCAGCAGTTTTCAAAGTGCTTGGTGGTTTTTCTGGTGGAACTAAAATGAGGATTGGATTAAACTGCCAATTTTCTAGAAGTTGAAGACCTTCTCTGGAGTACTCAGAATTCATACTTGAAGCAAATCTCTTTTTAATTTACTTGGTACCATATTGATGTCTATGCATGATTCTTATATTATGCAATTGCCTACACTCAATTCAACGAACTTGTGTTTAAAAAGAAAATGTCACTGAAGGAATGCTGGAAAATAATAATTGAGCTTTGTTTTTATAATGTAATACTCAGGATAATTATGAGATAAAACTATGTATGGGTCCAAATGACTCAATTACATTAAGATGCCCAAACATGAAAATGTAAGATGGGACTATGAACATCTATATGTCACTTATGAAGTTACTGATTCTGAAAAGTGACCTTCCTTTAGTTCTAGGTAGGGTGGTGATTCCCCAAGATCATGTTTCTACACAGTGAATATCTGATTTCCTGTTTTACTCAGTAAGTTACAAGAATTCAAGATGAATTATTGAATTCTTGAATGGGCATTTTATTAGGTTTCCCATCATCATCATCATCATCATCATCATCATCATCATCCCTGCTTTGTTTCTTTACCCCTGTAATTATGATTTATTCCAAAAGGAACAGAAGAATCTAGTAGGCAGTACTGGCAGAATTTGCTTCAATATACTTGTTATTACTTTGGGACACTTTAAGAACTAACCACGCCCACCCCAGCCTTTTTGGACCTCCCCCTGTAGCCATCTTCTCTCTGGTACCTGTGTATGGGTGGGAGCGTGCGTGCGTGCGTGTGTGTGTGTGTGTGTGTGTGTGTGTGTGTGTCTTTGTTCTCTCTATGTTTGTCTATGTTTTCCTTTATTTAAGTAATGAATGTTTAGCTTTATGTATAGCCTTATGTCCATTTACTCTGTCGTCCACCGCATCCAGCCACCTGACTCTGCTGCTCGCCCGGGGACCCTGACTCCTTGGCCGCATGGTGTTGCCACCCTGGAGATCTTGCGGGGACCCATAGCCACTAGCAGCTGCTCCGCGAGCTGCCCGGGACATCCCACCATGGTATTATTTTTAAAAAGAACAATAATACTCCCTCAGAGATATCCATACCAGTAGCCTATGTCTCTTCCTCAGAAATTCGAGTCCCAATTCCACCGAGGTACTGTGGAATGGGGTGAGTAGAAATTCCTACCCATAATTTCAGCTCAGCGAGGCCCTTATCCCATCATGAATTTTAGTAACAGCAAGTGCCTGTGGCTTGGCAATTGTTAATTCTATTATGCCAAAATGTTTTTGCTCTTTCAGAGTCTCAATTCTTATTTAGTAAGTTTTTCTTTTAAATGTAATGTTCTCTGCTAAACGTAAATAGTGTACATTCTTACTTTTATTAACATGGTCTCAGGAAATAATAGAATGTTCACTATCTCTCTGAAGATGTGTTGAGCTATAGATAGAATGCCACTCCAAGGTGGAAAAATGCTCTATAATGGAAGAACCATTGTGCCACCATCTTATTACCCAGATATATAGACATTGCTACATAAATATCAATATTTATTATTATTGTTAAAATTGTTAATTTATTCTGGCTTTTATCATTGCTTCAGTACTAAAAACATACTAGTACTCTTGCTAGTTATTTCATAACTTTATGAGTTAAAAATGATCATGACCAGATAGCAGGTTTTGTAGTACTAAGTAACACCTCAGTTTGTAGTACTGGACAAAATATTTGGAAAAAGTCCCATATAAACACAAGCTTAGTGTAGCTTGGGCAGAATATTTGTGATTAAATGCTGCGATGCCTCCAGGTCTCTTTATCTTATCCATCCTTTCTCCCCTGATTTACTTGGAGAATTCTGGGTTTGTAAGGGCCTAAGAAACTGATGGCAGATGCTCATGTCTTTCTTGGCCAAGTGTTAAAAAAGAAAGAGAAACTAATGAAAAAACACACTTTTTAGATAATCTGTTAGTAAAATAATCATAATGATCTATTGCTCACATAGAAGCCAGATAGATTGTATATGAAACAAAGAAATAACATAGAAAATTGACTGTTGTTAACTTTTGTATGCGTTGGAGAGTCCTCAGAGAGCTTCATTCTCTATATTTCTTTTACTGTTTCTGGTTCTTGGTCCTTGCAAACTAAGGTCTATTTTGCCTTCTGTTTTGGAGAACTATTTTGTATAAACAGTAAAATGGAGATTTTTATCTTCTTAACAAGCTAATTATTCTGTGGCGTGTGTGTGTGTGTGTGTGTGTGTGTGTGTGTGTGTGTGTGCGCGCGTGTGTGTGTTTTAGATAGAGGAGACATATGCCACACTGTATGAGTGGAGGTCAAAGGACAACACTGTGGAGTCAGTTCTCTCTTTCTATTCTCTCCTTCTACTTCTATAGATTCTGGTTATTGAACAAAAGCTACCAGGTTTGCACAGCAGCCCCCTTTATCTACAGAGCCTACAAGTCCCATATCTTGTCTTTTCTTTAAATGAGATAACTGCAAATTTGATTTTTTTTACAAAAATAGAAATTTATTTCCTACCTTATAAAACAAAATTCATTTAAGTAGAAATTCTTTAAGTATACAATGAAACACTAAGAAAAGGGACCAATGGAATGACATTTTGATATCCCATTAAATAGTATACATCAGAAGAGAATGTAAACAGAACTATTAAAACGATGTTTTGCATACTAAAAAAGTTCCAGTAGGAAATAATTATGAAACTATTGAATGCTAAGGTTTTCATTAAATGTAAGACTATCTCCATATTGTCTATTCTCAATTGGGGATGGGCTTATTTCAATGTTGCCAGATGTAGGCATTGGTTTCAGAGCACATGATTATAAGCTACTAAATGTCAAAAATGAAACCTAAAATGTTCAAATTATAAAACAATTTGAGGGAATTATTCTTCAGAATCAACTTTTGCCTTCAGGAGAATCTAGAGCCTTTATTCATCTCTGTTAAGTGTGTCCTCAGAACTCATTCCCCACACAGGATTTGGTGTACATTAACCTTGCATACAAGTTGGAGATACTTTTGCTCCCCTGTGCATTTACATGTAAGTATGCTGTGGCATCAGTATGAATTACCAAGCAATGAGTTTACCTTGATCTGTAATGAACAAAAGGATGCTGTGTCTTTACTGAGATTAGTGAGCTGCATAACTTAAGCATCCATTATTAGCCAAACACAAGTTAACATCACTATTTGCTCATGAAGATAGGGAGGAAAACATGATTAGCCTTACACTGCAGAAGGAGCTATAGCTGTTTGTGGCATTTAACAAAAGCAGATAATAAATAGAAGTAATTGATGCTGCAAATAACTTTAGAGTCATAACATTGAAAGTAAAAGAGAAGCAAAATGTAAATGGACAAATCAGAGAAACAGTTAAACAAAAACATATTATCATGCTCCTTGAAGACATCCAGATGTAGACCCAGTGAAATGAATGAAATGATTCTTTCTGCCATCTATAATGGAAATGTATATGATATGAGGAAACGAAGCTATGGGAAAGAAGATAACCAAGAACTGCATATGAAAAAAAAAAAACTTGAGGAAAAGCTGTGCACAATGAGGATGAGACACGGAGGCTGATATAGCCTCCATAAAAGCAATGGTGGCTCACAGAGCCCAAGGAAATTCTTACTCCTCATCCTAAGTCACCTGTTGAAAAACCACGTCTGTAATCTAGAATGATTTTGATAAATCTTAGTTAAAGACATGAATCAAATTCTCAAGAGAATTTGTTTTAAATTCTATCAATTATTTTAAAGTATTGTTTTAAATCATAAAATTATAAATTATTGAAATTTGTTCCTGTACTATCAGTGTAGAGTAAAATTGTACAGCACTGTTAAGCTTCTGATTTTAATAAATTCAAAGTATCACAAAGGCAGATGAATTTTAGATTTTGTTGCCTTTCTTCCTTCCTTCCTTTCTTTCTTTCTTCCCTCTTTCCTTCCTTTTCATTCCTTCATTTCTTCCTTCCTTTCTCTCCTTCTCTGCCTCTCTCCCTCTCTCTCTCTTCCCTCTTTCTTTTGGAGTCAAAATAACTCTTAGTTTTCATAATTCTAAATCATCAATTGACCTTGAAAATAATAAGATGATTAAGATATTGTTCAATACTACCAACACAATTTCAGGGCTATATAACTCTAATGCTCAATTCTAATTGCAATATCTACTGCATGTCAAAAATATAACAAAAAACAGACAATATATCTATGACACAGTTGTAGAAACTTTGTATTTCAAATTTGTCATCACAAAATATTATTTCATGCACTTTAATTAATAGCTTCAGTAAATGAAATGCATAAAATAGAACATAATATAGATTACAAAGAACAGAATTGAAAAATTTACATACCTATTGTAGAAATCATCCCTGTAGTAATCATAGTCAAAGACATAACCACTATGGATAGAAAAAAAATAATTGTCAGCGTATGTTTAAACCATGATTATTTTAATAATAATTTTTTATAATGAGAAATCAATTACTTTATACCAACATATGTTAATATATCTATAAAGGGCATTATAAAAAAGTGTTCATTTTTATATACTTTATCAGACTATCATCACAGTTTGGCAATTTGTTACATTAAAATAGGACCAACACATGCATTTCTGCCATAATAGCCCTCTGTCTACACAGTGAGAACTGACTATATCCATTTGGATAAAGGTCTTTTGTGAGGCACTTTGTATGCATGTTTGTTTTAGTCATCAAAACTATTCATATATAAGGTAAGTAACTATTAAGTAAATACCCAAGAAGTTTATTGAATTCTTATTACTAACAATTGACAGGGGTTGGTTAGAGACTGAATTCACATTTTTTGTTTTGATTTCAATATTCTCAACCATAACAAATCTAAATTCTATTGTTTTTTTAATACTCATAATAATTTTTACTAGGTATTTGTTAATTTAAATTTTCATAATGATAAAGCACAGAGAGCATGAAAATTGTCACTTTTCATAATTTCAGGTACAGTTTTAATGTACCATTCAATATACCATTTTAACCATGTCAAGTATTCAATTCAATAGCATAAAAAGAATTCAGAAAGTTGTGTAAATGTCATCATTGTCTATTTTATGAATTTCTCTGTAGTAGCAAACAGATGCTGCTCCTCACCTGTTTCTGCCTTAATCCTCTCTACTCCACATACTGTCTATATACCTGCCTATTTTAGGTACCTCATGAATTGTGAATCACAGTTACGCATCATATAATGACATAATCAACGCTTTCCTTTCTGTCTGATTTATTTCTCTTAGTATCCTTTAAAACTTATCTATTATGTACTAGATACAAGAGTTGTATTTTTTCTTTCATTTTTATACTTTCTTTCTTTCTTTCTTTCTTTCTTTCTTTCTTTCTTTCTTTATTTATTTATTTATTTTCTGAGATGAGGTTTCTCTGTAGCTTTGGTGCCTGTCTTGGTACTAGCTCTTGTAGACCAGGCTGGCCTCAAACTCACAGAGATCCCCCTCCCTCTGCCTCCTGAGTGCTGGGATTAAAGGCGTGCACTATCACCACCCGGCTGAGTTATATTCTTTTCTAAGTTTTACTGTTACAACAAATTTTGTTTATTGATTTTCTGGTAAATATTGATAGTTTCTCTAATGTTTTTCTGGTAAATAATGGTGCCGTGATATTTTGTGTGAATTATCAACATACTTGCTTTCATTTTCCTTGTGTGTATACATAAAAGACAAATTCCTTGATTCATATTAAAATTTAATGTTTAGCTGATTTGCAGAACCTCTTATGAGAGAAGGGTAATTTTATATTTCTAATCAACCTAACCATCATTTATTTTATAACTATTCTCAAAACAGGAATGCTGAGAACCCTTATTAATGGAATTTTAATTCTTGCTTTTAAGAACAATACATGCATGCCTCCTCAAACTTACTACAAAGAGAAGGAAAAGGTTGGACATAGCATATCTAGTCTAGGACAGTTCTGTCTGCAGTAGGGCCTAATATTGCACAGGATGTGCCAATTGAAGTTCTGAAAAGTTAAGGAAAAATCTAGTTCGCACAAGTATCTAATTAGAAGATCACACAATTCTTATTCCTGTTCACAGGAATGCCCTATTTCTACAAACCCAGAAGACCAATGCAGTTATTGTCTAGAAAATATATTGCCTAAAGAGTAAAAAAACAAAGCAAAAAAACCTCACCTTTGTTTGCTTGTACAGATTATTAAAGTGGTGTATGTTATAGTTTATATCTCTTGTATTGACACGTCTGTATTGTTGAGCTGGGGGATTTTTAAGACAACCTACTGGTTACCAAACTATGGGCATAAATGTCTTCTGAGACTTTCCTAATGCAACAATGCATAAAATACAGTGATCTTTTCTCAAAACTTGATAAAGAACATGCCATCAAAAACCGAATGAGGCACATGGGTTCAGAAGTTATAATTTTATCTATGGCTAAATCTGGTTGTATCAGGATAATCTCAATTTTCTGTCAGTTTCTTTGAACTTCAGTCAGGTTTCCTCTGGACTCTGCACCCTTGAGTTCTGGTTTTGCTTTAGGAAACTTACATGGTCAATCCATATGTATGCCTCTAAGATGTAGATGCAAAATTCTCCTAGCTTCACAACTGAGGAACAGCTTTCTTTTTCTGGAGCAAAGGGTTATAATCTGGTTATCTTTTGCTTTATAGTTACAATCCACTTATGAGTGAGTACAAACCATGTTTGTTTTTCTGGGTCAGGGGTTTGTCACTCAGGATATATTTTTTCTAGTTACATTCATTTGATTACAAATTTTATGATGTCATTGTTTTTTTACTGCTGAGTAATAATTCTTGTAGAAATGTACCACATTTTCTTCATTCAATCTTCAGTTGAGGGACATCTAGGTGTTTCTGGGTTTTGGTTATCACAAGTAATGCTGCTATGAATAGTTGAGCAAGTGTCCTTGTGGTATAATTGAACATCGTTAGGGAATATGCCCAAGCATGGTAATACTGAGTCTTGAGATGGATTGATTGCAAAATTTCTGAGAAACCACCATATTGTTTTGCAAACTGGCTATACATGTTTGCACTCCCACAAACAAAGGAGGTGTGTTCCTCTTCCTTCACGTTCTCTCCAATATAAGCTGTCATTAGTGTTCTGATTTATTTCTTTTTGTGGCCTTATTGCTTTATCTAGAACCTTGAGTTCTACTAAACAAATATGGAAAGAGTAGACTGCCTTATCTTGTTCCTGATTTTAGTGAAAATGCTTTGAGTTTCTCTCCATTTAACTTAATATCAAGTTGTTGCATTTAAATGAGGACAATAAAAATAATGTATTTATGAGTATATGAAAAAGCCTCAAAAATGCCTAGGTTTTTAGGTCAGGTGCAGTGTCACAGCCTGTACTGTTCAGCGTATGCTTACCATTTTTAGAACCAAGGCTAAGTGAAGTTATGTGATACTACACAGGTAAATGCTTTCAAAATATCTTCAGCTTATATATTTGCCTTTTCATTATTATATTTTCAGAAATCTACTGTTGCCAGAGAAATAGTATATTGGCAATTTTTTACATGTTTTCTAATAGTCTTTTTTTATATTGTCCCACCATAGAGAGTTTAATTATAACAATAATCTATGGTACAATGGGTAATTGATTAAGACATTATTAGCATGACAATAATGATTACACTCATGTGCTTAACACATTTAGGAAATGCTCCAATATATTAAGAACTTTTGGAAATGGAAAGTGCATGAGAGGGAAGATTTTATTTTTATCATTTGCTGTTTAAATTACCGTGTCCAAACTGGTTACTTTTTGTTCCATCCTGACTGTAAAAGACAGGTATATGATTACAAATTAAAGAATCTTAAACTGTGATCATCATGTCCTGCCGCCTACCATCATGATCTCAATTTTACTTGTCAATGTTAAAAATGAATAAAATGGGCAGATAGTCCTGACCTACCATGTCTGCTTTTGTCTTAGTTGTTTGGCTTTAGAGGCAGTGCCAGAGTGGTTACTGAGTTTCTGAGCTAGAGGATCCCTCTAAATTTCTGAGAATAATTGGGGATCCCAAGATTTGAAAGGTTAATTCCAGCAACCCTGGGTCTCCTCCATTAAGCTTTCACAACATTCTTGTCACCATTCTCCAATTTTCTTCCTCTTACTAGACAGTTGGTTTTTTGTTTATTTGTTTTTCATAAATTCCATCCTCTCACTACACTGTGAGAACCTCTATTTAAAACTATGTGTCAAATGACAGTAATAAACTTTGCAAAGAATTTTGCGTATCATAGAATCATATTGCAGAAAAAATTGGTCTTTTAGTCAGTCAGCCCACAACCTTTTATTTATTTTTTTCTGTTAAGAGAGGTGAGGTATTGCTATACATATAAACTAATCTATTTTAGCCCATAATACAAAAGCCTTTTTTATTTTTAAAACAAATAGTTTGGAGTAACCATGCAATCTCAGAAGCCACTGGAAACAAGATGGTAGTGAGTTACATGTTTAGGACCCTCTCCAAGAAGAAAGCAAAAACATGAAATGCAAAGGCTTTGTTTAGACCCACAGCCTGCCCCAGTCATGCAATTGTCACCCACATTCAGATGACCCATTTGGTCCTATGATGGTTTCCTCTTTGTCAGGCCAAAGTTGAAAAGCTTTTATATTAGCTCAGCAGATGATTCATTGTGTTTTTCCTTCACGGCCTTGACCTCTTTGCTTATGTTCTCTTTAGTTGGACTTTGGGAGCTCAGTCCAATATTCCCCTGTAGTTCTCTCCATCAAATGGCTTCCATCAGTAGCTGAATGAAGGTTCTGTGGTGACATTAAAGATAGCCATCAATCTGACTACAGGGCAAGGCAAGTACAGGCACCCTCCCCACTACTGTTTAGGATCTTAGCTGGGGTCCTCCTTGCGAATTCTTGGAAATTTCTCTAGTACCAGATTTCTTGCTGGCCTCATAATGGCTCCCTCAATGAAGATATCCCTTTGTGTTCTCCATCTCTGTCCTTCCCCCATCTTGATCATTCAATTCCCACGAGTTCTCTTCCTTCCTCTTCTCTCTTCTTCTACTCTGCTGACTTTTCTTCTACTTCCATCCCCAAGCTCCCAAATTTCTCAGGAGAACTTGTCTCTTTCCCCTTCCACAGGGGATCTATGTATGTTTCTCTTAGGATTCTCCTTGGTACTTAGCTTCTCTGGGGTCCTGGATTATAGGTCCATAATCTTCACTTTACAGCTAGTATTCACTATGGGGTACATACCATGATCATCTTTATGGGTCTGGGTTACCTCACTCAGGATGACTTCTTCTACTACCTTCCATTTGCATGCAAATTTTGAGATGTATTTTTTTCTGCTGAGTAGTATTCTATTGTGAAAATGCAACACATTTTCTTTATTCATTCTTTG